CTCTACTAAAAATACAAAAAATTAGCTGGGCATGGTGGTCCGTGCCTGTAATCCCAGCTACTCAGGAGGCTGAGGCAGGAGAATTGCCTGAACCCAGGAGGCGGAGGTTGTGGTGAGCCGAGATCGCGCCATTGCACTCCAGCCTGGGTAACAAGAGCGAAACTCCGTCTAAAAAACAAAACAAAACTATTTATCTCTTAATTTGTTGCCCTGAATTTTATATGATTGAGGTTCTTCCCTTTATTAGTAGCAAAATATTTGTTGTATGCTTTCCTCTACATAAAAAAAATTATACCATGAGTGCATGGTATAATTGTTGAGAATTTGGAACATTGATGAAATTAAGTCAGTGAATATTGTATGTAGGTACAAGCTAATTTTAATAATTATTTTAAATCTCCTTCATTCATCACAGAATGATTTGGGTAAATCTTTTTTTTTTTTTTTTTGAGACGGAGTTTCGCTCGTTACCCAGGCTGGAGTGCAATGGCGCGATCTCGGCTCACCGCAACCTCCGCCTCCTGGGTTCAGGCAATTCTCCTGCCTCAGCCTCCTGAGTAGCTGGGATTACAGGCACGCGCCACCATGCCCAGCTAATTTTTTGTAGTTTTAGTAGAGACAGGGTTTCACCATGTTGACCAAGATGGTCTCGATCTCTTGACCTCGTGATCCACCCGCCTCGGCCTCCCAAAGTGCTGGGATTACAAGCGTGAGCCACCGCGCCCGGCTTTTTTTTTTTTTTTTTTTTAAATGGAGTCTTGCTCTGTCATTCAGGCTGGAGTGCAGTAGTGCAATCTTGGCTCACTATAACCTCTGCCTCCTGGATTCAAGCAATTCTCCTGCCTCAGCCTCTGGAGTAGCTGGGATTACAGGCACATACCACCACACCCAACTAATTTTTATATTTTTATTAGAGATGGGGTTTTACCATATTGGCCAGGCCAAGGTCTTGATCTCCTGACCTTAGGTGATCTGCCCGCCTTGGCCTCCCAAAGTGCTGGGATTACAGGCATGAGCCACCATGCCAGGCTGATTTGGGGTAAGTGTTATGCCAAGTCTTCACAACTTGTGGAGAGATATTAAGGTGGATAAATATATCATTTGTCCTCAGATGCCTTTGGGGCTTGAGGACATTGACATGGGGGGGAAATTAAAACGGAGTGATAATTACTATAATACCATATAAAGGATGATATGAGAAATGAAGAGAGAGCAACAAACTGTGCTTGAGGAAGGTGAGAAAGGTTTCAGAGAGAAGGCAGCATGTAGAAGCTTCCCACAGAGAAAACATTCCTGGCACCAGGCAGAGCAGACACGTTCGGCACACATGGTACAAGGGAATTCAAGTTGTCTTTATCTTTATAACCTTGAATATTCAGAGATGAAGACCAGTCCTTACCAAAGTCAAGTGCAAAGTCTAAGAGCTGTCCTCAAATAGAACAATAAAGGGGAAGCGGAACAAATTTTCATAAAGTGACTGCTGTGTATCAGGTGCCATGCTAGACACTAGTGTACAGGAACAACTGAAGGCATAACTAAGGCTACCGATAGTCTGCTGTCCCCCAGTTTTTCTCTTAAGCAAGAGTCTGCTTACCTTGACTCAAAGAGACCAGCCATCTTCCATCAGTTCAAAGGTGAATGTTTAACTGCTTAGCTATTTATTCCTCTCCTCTGTGCAGTCTTTGATTCCCAGAGAAGGCTGAACTGGGTGGACGCAGTAGCTCATGCCTGTAATCCCAGCACTCTGGGAGGCCAAGGCAGGTGGATCACAAGGTCAAGAGATTGAGACCATCCTGGCCAACATAGTGAAACCCCATCTCTACTAAAAATATTAAATATTATTTAAAAAAAAAAAAAGAGAGAAGGCTGAACTGCCAAGGCATCCAGATTAAATACTGTGGCAGTAGTAGTTCAGGTACATGCTCATTCAGACTGCATATTTATTTGGGAGATATTCAAGTGCTGTTCTACCAGGCAGGGGCATCTTCCTCTGATTAAGAGCCACTAGGGTTTTTTCAAAGATCCACATCTGTATACCAAACACAGGGAAACCTACAGAACTAAAGCTACTTATTGATTACTTTTTTTCTTCCATCAGGTATGAAGATGATAAAAAAGAATGGGCTGGGATGTTGAAGGAAATACGCTATGCTTCAGGAGCTAGTTGCCTAGCAACACGTTTAAATCTCTTCAAACTGTCTAAACTATGAACAAGGTGACAAAACATAATGGGGAGGTGGTTTGTTTGGTGAATGGGGCTTTAATTTATTGTTTTTTAAAAGCTTGTACAGACACTCATGTAGAAATTATTCAGGAAATTGTCTTAGAGATGAGCAGTAGGTAACAAAACCTCAGTCACTGACTCTTCAATGTAATGTTCAGAACTTAAAACCATTTTCTAATAAGAAATTAAATATTCAGTTGAACAAATTATTTTGTGAATGTTTCACTCAATGGATTATAAAGAAGTCTCCTAAATTTGAGTTATTTGCTAATCATTTCATTTGCATTGTTAGGGTATCTTTACGCTAATTTTCTATTACAATTGGAAGCGGAGAACATGTGCATCTACGTTAAAAAAATGTGTAAGATATCAAAAACCTCTCCTCATGCTTCAAAATGACAGGAATCCTGTGCGTTTTGCTAAAAATTACATGCCATAAGAAGACTTCAGAAATGCTACTTCAGAAGTGTAATAAATGGATGGGGAAAAGTCTCTTCTAAGTAAAAACAGTCAAATTCAAATGGCCATTTTTCTCTTTTTTTTTTTTTTTTTTTTTTTTTTTTTTTTTTTTTTTTTTTTTTTTTTTTTTGCGACACTGGCACATTATGTGTGGTTTCCAAATCAAATTTTTATTAAAACCAGTAAATCAGTCTTCAAGCCAATAACTATACCATCTGTGGCAGGAGGGTAAGAGAGCACCCTTAGGAAATGGATTGATTCTTTAATGCTGGGGCAGAAGTTGCGGTCAATGGGAGATGTGGAGGAGGTTGTGTATTCACTGATTTAAATTTTGGCTACTCTCTGTGAAAGTGCTATTTGCTAAATTTCTGACTGCAAGGAAGGTGACTGTATTACTTCATTTTCTGGGATGTGATGTCCTCCATTCACTGTTTCTTCTTAGTGCATATAGTAAGTTGACTCCTCAGTCTGCTCATAACCATCACATTCAACTCTGCAAGTCATAAATTAATCATCACTTTTAGCCACACACCAACTTATGGGTCTCACATAGCTTTCATAGACATATATTTGACTTCTATCCTTACACGTTATTTTCTGAAAAACCTGACCTGGGACTGATTTGGAACATTCACGATTATTTGTCAAGGAGTTGCATAAAGAACAGATCTAAGTATTCATACACCATTTTTTCTCTATCATAAATACAGAAATATATTTAACAGAAACAAGTTTTATTTTGGATATTTAAAGTAGAATCCTGATTACTCTTCTATATTGAAAAATACTTTTCTTAATTATAGCATGAATACAGAATCAAGAAATTCCCAAAGTGGAAAACCCTACAGGTTCTTCAACAAATAAACTGTTAGGAAGCAAAAGGGACACTTAGACTCAAAAGGGTGCAGGAAGAGGGGGCCACAGGGATTATGGTGTCCAGAATTATACATCTGGGTGATAAAATTGTAAGAATCTCTTACTATAAAATCAGGATTGAGACTACTTTTGGGGAGAGAATGCCAATCTACACAGATGTAAAAATAAGTTGTAAAAATGATGCTTCTTGCAGGGTTTCTTTTGAGGATGATGATGTTCTGGAATCAGATATGGGTGATGGTTGCACAAATATACTAAAAACCACTGAATTACATACTTTTAAAGGGTGAATTTTATAATATGGGAATTGTATCTCAATAAAAAATGCTTTTGTTTATAACGAGGTAAGCTATTTAGATAGAAAAATCATCAATCAAAAATATAACAGTATTTATATTTATATATTATATATAAAAGAAAACCATTTGCATCAGATAGCCTGGAGCAGGATTCCCCAACTGGGCCACACGGCAAGAGGCAAGCAGTGGGCAGGCAAGCTAGCATTACCACCTGTGCTCCACCTCCTGTCAGATCAGCAGCTACATTAGATTCTCATAGGGGCACGAACCCTCCTATTGTGAACTGTACACGTGTGCAATCTAAGTTGTACACTCCTTATGAGACTCTCACTAATGCCTGATGATCTGAGATTTTATCTTGAAACCATTCCATCCCCCCACTCTGTCCGTGGAAAAACTGTATTCCACAAAAATGGTCCCTGATGCCAAAAAGGTTGGAGACTACTGCCTAGAGAGAGTAAGAGATGTGATAGGTGAAAAGTTCGATCTTATGTAACAACCAGTGAAAGTACACAAAGGTTATTTTCAATCAGGAGTTCCATGTTCCTCAAGTATATAATGACTAAATTTTCACTTATATCCAAAGGAAACCCTTTATAATCCTCATCGGCCTAATCATTTTATTCTAAAATTGCATAGTAAAATATTTTAACCTAACCAAGGGTTTAGTTCTTGTTATCATTTGCTTGAGAAATAGAACACAATCATGGAAATTAAACACTCTGAATTTAGCATTTCCACTAATATAAATCAATATGAGGAATTCAGAAAGAGGAAGAGACAATGAGACATCTTTCACTTACTATTCTGATTGTTTTTCACAAAACGTTTTGTGAAGTTAATATTCCACAAAATCATTAAGTATTGGCGTTCAAATCATGCAGTCATTGGATATTTTAAACAGGTACTTCACCTAAGTCTAAGCCAAATATCAGTGAAGCAAATTACATGCAAGACACATATTTTAAAGCTATACTTATGAAGTGAGAGGGTCATGGAGTCAGAAGATAGCCACGTTTCAGATGGCCAATTACTGCCACCATCACCAGGTGGTCTGAGTGAGGGTAGTTAGGCTGTGGCCTGCTGAGTACAAAACCATCACTCTTAGAGGAAGGGTTGGGGATTATATCACATAGCAGGCCCTTAGTAACCATTTTATTGAATAAATGTGTTGTAAGACAGGGAAATACCATTATTCCCTCAACATGTGTAGGCTCAGACCAGGTCAAGATTGGTCCATTCAGCTACGACCCCATTTCTTTGCTTCCATTTAGGAGAAAACGTATATCCTCCCATTTTCTCTTGAACTAGTCAGGCTTTCACACACGCCACTTCAAAATGACTCTTTTCAAAGTACTAATGATTTCCATGTTGCTAAATTTAATAGCCATTTCCCATTTCTCATCTTACCTGACCTATCAGCAGCATCTGATACCACTACTCACCTCCTTGAAATGCTTTATCCACTTGGCTTCTAGGAAGGATTACTACCTTCTTTCCTCCTATCTCATTGGCCATCCCTGCTCAGTCTCCTTTCCTGATTCCTCTTCTTCCTATTAATCTTTTAATGTTGGAGCACCAAACTCAGTCCTCAGCCCTCTCCTCCATTCACACTCTTACCTCATTTTAAGTGATTTCGTCTCAGGGCATTGAATACTGCTGACAACTTATACATTGTATCTGGGGCCTGGATCTCTTCCCTGACCTCCAAGCTCGTTTACTGAATTCTCTATTTGGTATATCCACTTAGATGTTTAAAAGACATCACAAACTCAACATATCTAAAACAAACTCATAATCAACCCCACCACCTGCCCCATCTTGCTCGTCCTGTAGACCATCCCCATCTCAGTTAATGCTCATTAGCATTAACATCCTTTTAGTTGCTTAGGACAAAAACTTAGAATTATCCTTGAATCCTATTTCTCTCATACCTCATATCCACTCACTGAGCAAATTCTGTTGCCTTTATCTTCAAAATACATCCAAAAATCTGACTACTTCTCATTACCTCCACTGCTCCACTCTCTCCAAGCCACCATTCATTTCTTGCCTGGATTTTTGCAATGACCTCATAGAGGGTTTTCTTGCTTACACTTTTGCCTCATCATAGTCTTTTCTTATCTCAACAAGGTAGCCAAAGTAATGCAGTTAAAATGTGAGTTCATATCATTCCTTGCTTGAATCCCCCCAATGGCTTCTCATCTCACTCCAAGTAGCCAAGAGGTTGTATTTGACTCTGTTATCTCTTTCCTTTTCTCTTACATACTCCCACCCCACTCCCCACTTGTTCTGCTCCAGCCATACTGGATCCTTTGTTATTCTCAAACATGCCAGGCATGTTCTCACCTTAGGATATTTGTACCTCTTATTTTATATTGAGTCAGGCCACTTAATTAAAATAAGTCCAAATGTGACACATGATAACATTCATTTAAACAACTACAATCATAATTTGACTTCTCCAAATATACGTTCTCTCAGGTAGTCCATCCTAGCATCCTTTGTTGACAGTGCCATAGAGTTCCATTCAAACTGAGAAATCTGTAAAATAAGTAATGTAATTTGAATGAAAGTTGTAAAGCAATAACAAAAAACACTGAGGAAGGCATGTAAGTACTACTGATCAAAGCTGTAGGAATCCTGTGAAATTAGTTTACATAAGAATAGTCTATGAACCTTTATTGGAAGCCAAGTGGGTCCTTCTGACCTTGCCTGGAAGACTTTTTTTCTGTTCCTTTCATCCTCCTTTTCCTACAATACCAATGATGGACATTTTTTCCTACATAGTCTTCTATATTCATACACTAGTTGTTTCCTCTGATAATTCTACCCATTTTTACAGTGCCTCTCTCCTTTCCAAGGTATAGATATCATAAGATATAAATAGTCTAAAGACGATAAAATAAATGACAACTTATATTTATTTATTTTTATGAGACAGAGTCTTGCACTGTCACCCACGCTGGAGTGCAGCGGGATGATCATGGCTTAATGCAGCCTCAGTCTCCTGGGATCAGGCAATCCTCCCACCTCAACCACCCAAGTAGCCACAGGCATGAGCTACTGCACCTGGCCTGTTTGAGGGATACATTTTTTAAAAAAATATTTTAAAAGATAATTATGGAACTTACACATTAAAAGAAAGCACATGTACAGCGAGTGTCTCTGGGCTTTTTAGAGGCTGAATTACATGAGTATTTCATACCTGAATTACACGATAGCCCAAAATTTCCAAATGTCGTTTTTTCATAGCAGATTTTCCTTTTATGTGAGGAATATTTCTACAAAATGCTTTCGAATCCAAAAATTCCAAAGCAATCCTACATAAGACAAAAAACATTTACTTCCAAAATCAATATAAGAAACTGAATAATTACAAGCTTTTCAGGAGCATGTTTGCATCTTTATAAACTAACAAAAGCCAATGAATATAAATGAGTATAACAAGTTACATTTCTGCTAAGAAATTAACTGATGACAAAACTATTAAGTTACACAAAATTATTGTAAATATCTGTCTGCTTTCATCCATTTTTTTTGTCCAATATATATTTACACATGCCTATTATATGTAAGCTACTGTGAGGGGTACAAAGATGAAGTAATACAGCTTATAGTCTAACAGAGAACACATGATGTATAGTAAGCTACTATAATGCTATGTAGGAAGTAGCTAAGTGCTACGGGAAAAGTAGAGAGTCAGGGGAGCACAAAAGAAGATACTATTTTACCTCCAGTTGAGGACAATTCTTCTAGCACTATAGGGAGATTGCTAGGCTTTGGATAGAAGAAGGGAGAACATTAAAGCAAAGGGACAGGAAAAGCAAAGTTACAAAGATGGAGTGCATGACATAGGAAGAACAGATTCTACTACCTTCAATCCTTGATCACTGACTTGCAAAATTTAACATTTAGATATTAATAAAATCTAAGAAACAAATTACCTTTCAGCTCCTGGTGGCAGCCTTGATCCAACTATTTCAGTATTTGATTCCCAGGGCATTTCTGGTTGTTGTCCCAATGTTATATTATGGCTTCCATAAGGAAGAGGTTTTTTTTTTTTATCCAAGGTACACTCAAAATCTTAAGGAAGCATAGAAACTAGCAGTATGAATTAGGTAAAGTCTTACAGATAAAAGTTTAAGATATACTGAAATGTATATGCATATATTTATACACATAACACACAAAAGATCTTATTTTATAAGATCTAGTCCAATGGCACCTCTCTTTAGAAATCAATCAATAAAAAAATCAACCAGAAGAATTACAAATAATATTAAGTACTGGGCTACATTTAGTACTAGGCTAGGCCAAATCACATTAAAGAGTTTTACTCTCACTGGGCATGGTGGCTCATGCCTGTAATCCCAGCACTTTGGGAGGTCGAGGTGGGTGGATCACAAGGAGGAGATCAAGACCATCCTGGCCAACATGGTGAAAACCCATCTCTACTGAAACTACAAAAATTAGCTGGGTGTGGTGGTGCGTGCCTGTAATTCCAGCTATTGGGAGGCTGAGGCAGGAGAATTGCTTGAACCAGGGAGTTGGAGGTTGCAGTGAGCCAAGATCGTGCCACTGCACTCCAGCCTGGCAACAGAATGAAACTCTGTCTCAAAATAAAAAAAGAGTTTTAATCTCCTTAAGTCTCTTGGTTACACTTGGAGGAAGCTAAACCAACTCATCTGAAAATTAATAAAGAAAAAGATTCAAGCATTTATCCTGTCTTTCCTACATGAATTGCATATAAGGGTAACTAAACAGTTGATATGGGAAAGTTCTTTTGAGACAAATTCTGGCTAATAAATGTAGAAGGTATGATAGCTGTAGAATATCGCTACTTTACCACCTCTCTGAATGATGGATTTAGGCAATGAGTGATCATTAATAACTGCTAAAATCAGCAGGTGAAAAGCTGACAGGGGAACTTTCTGTTGAATGAATCAGCTGACAACATACAAACCCACTAATAGTCCTAATATATAAAAGATAAACAAGCTGGGCACGGTGGCTCACACTTGTAATCCCAGCACTTTGGGAGGCCAAGGCAGGTAGATTGCTTGAGTGCAGGAGTTCCAAACCAGCCTAGGCAACATGGCAAAACATAATCTCTACAAAAAAATTTTTTAAATAAGCCAGGTGTAGTGGCAGCTACTCAGGCTGAGGAGGCTGAGGTGGGAGAATCCCTTGAACCTAGGAGGTCGAGGCTGCAGTGAGCCATGCTTGTGCCACAGCACCTCAGCCTGGGCAACACAGCCAGACTCTGTCTCAAAAAAAAAGAAAGAAAAGAAAAAGACAACTGGCATTGTGTGCCTCCTGATAGAATGCAGTAAGAAGTACAAGCCACTTATGAATTTCTGGCCAGAAAGAAAAACCTAAAAAAAAAAACACTAAAATCTAATCAAGTCTCTAGATACCACTAATGGTTTACAGCAAACCCAGGTTTCCAGTAAAAAAACATTAAAAACTGTTAGATGACATATTAAATATTATCACAGGGTTGCAATTAGAAAAGTTCAAAATGTGAAAAAAAAAACTTATTCTCAAATAAATTTTAAGTTAAAAAAGGAGCTGTAGAAAAGAAAAAGTTGAACCAGAAACTGCAAACCAACCAAGTAGAATGTCAAGATCCCAATTTGAACAAATAAATTGTAAAATAAACATAAAAGACACTTAAAACAGGAAAAACAAAGGTATAAGGGTGGAATGAACGAGACGTATGAGTAATAGATTCTACTACCTTTGATGCTTCATCAAGTTCATTATAGTATGCCAAATCTAACATTTTGATAAAATGTTAAATTTTATTTAAAATGTCCCATACCTCTCTACTTATGTTAAATTTCCCATAATTCCACTGCCTTCAATCCTTGATCACTGAGTTTATTATAGTATGACAAATCTAACATTTCCATAAAATGTTAAATTTTATCTCAAATTTCCCATCTACTTAAAATTCCCATACCTCTCTACATTTCTTAAAAGGTATTTAAAAATTATTATTAATTGTTATAGGATGATAAAGATATTGTTATGTTTTTAAAGTCATTCTCATCTTTAGATATACATCCTGAAATGATACAGTGTCTGTGATTTGAAAAGAATGAGATGGAAATCAGGTGAAAAACTCAGGCACTGAACCATCTTTAAATTAATTATGAAACATGAAATATATGGCTTTCTCATTAAGAGAATGAATTCTAGAGCCAGAATGCCAAGGTCAAATCCTGGCTCTGTCATTTGCCAGGTATGCAACCTTGGGCAATCAATAATGTTTGTGGGTTTCAGTCTCCTCATGTGTAAATACTTTATATACCTCACAGGGATATAAGTTTACTTTACACACACACACACACACACACACACACAAGTACTTATAAAGCACTTAAAACGGTGTCTAACACATAATAAGCAATATATCAAGATATATCTATTATTGTTGTTATATGAAATTGCAGCATTGTTTGACAGATGGACATAACAGCGAAAAAATCTTATAGATTAAATCATAGCATACTCAATGAAATATGCAGTAACTAAAAAAGATGTATAAGCATATCTGTTGGCATAGAAAAATATTCACAACACATAAAGTTATAAACTGCTATGATCTGAATATGTCCCCAAATTTCATATGTTGAAACTTAGTCATCAATGTATTAATCATAATAGTGGGACCTTAGGCCAGACGTGGTAGCTAATAATGCCTGTTATCCTGGCACTTTGGGAGGCAGAGGTGGGAAGACTGCTTGAGCTCAGGAATTTAAGATCAGCCTGTGCAACATGGTGAAACCCCATCTCTACAAAAAATACAAAAATTAGCGTGGTGTGGTGGTGTGAGCCTGTAGACCCAGCTATTTAGGAGGCTGAGGTGGGAGAATCACTTGAGCTCTGGAGGCAGAGGTTGCAACGAACCATGATCATGCCATTGCACTCCTGGACTGCCAACCTAGGTGATAGAATAAGATGCTTTCTCAAAAAAAAAAAAAAAAAAAAAAAAAAAAAAAAAAAAAAAAAAAAAAAAAAAAAAAAAAAAAAAATGGCAGAACCTTTAGGAGGTGATTAAGTCATGAGGGCAAAGCCCTCTTTAATGAGATTAGTGACCCTATAAAAGAGCACCATTTTTGCCTTCCTATCTCTTCTGCCATGGGAGGACACAGCATTCAAAGTGCCTTCTTGAAAGTAGAGATGAGGTCCTCACCAGATACCAAACCTGTTGGTACCTCAAGCTTAGACTTCCTAGCCTCCAGAACTGTGAAAAATGAATTTTTGTTGTTTATAAATTAACCAGTCTCAGGTATTTTGTTATAGCAGCAGGAAAGGACTAAGACACAAACACTACAGAAGAAAACCATTTTTGTCTTTCTTTTAAAAAGTGAGGAAAACAGATACCAAAAGCAAACAGTGGCTATATCAATGCGTGATTTTTCTTTTTTGTTATCTGCCCTTTCTGGTTTTTCTATGCTATGCATGTCTCATGTAATTTTTTTTTAAGAGATGGGGTTATGTTCATACGGTTCTGAAGAAAAAAAAGAAACATTTTAAAAAGAGATGTGGTCTCAATATATTGCCCAGGCTGGACTCAAACTTCTGGGCTCAAGTGATCCTCTTACCTCTGTCTCTCCAAGTAGCTAGAATTACAGACTTGTGCTGCCATGCCCAGCTTCAATGTTTGTTGTCTTTGTTTTTGTTTTAGAGACAAAGTCTTGCTCTGTTACTCAGGCTAGAGTGCAATAGCATGATTGTAACTCACTGTGGCCTCAATCTCCTGGGCTCAAGACATTCTCCCACTTCAGCCTCCCAATGGGACTACATGGGCAAAGCACCATGCCTGCTAATTTTTATTTATTTATTTATTTAGAGACAGGATCTCACTATGTTGCCACCATGCCCACTAATTTTATTTATTTATTTATTTATTTAGAGACAGGGTCTCACTATATTGCCCAGGCTAGTCCCAAACTCCTGAGCTCAAGCCATTCTTCTACCTCAGCCTTCCAAAGAGCTAAGATTATGTGCATGAGCCATAATCATGCACATGTTTATGGATTTTTGTTACATCCAATTCAATCCTGATTAATATAAAATCAAACAAAGGAAAGTATGTGTTTCGTAGCACAAGATGAAAGTATTAGTGATTATCTAGTTCACCTTCCTGCCCTGTGCAGAAATCATACACATGTATCATCTGAATATTCAGCCTCTGCCTCAACATTACTTCTTCAGAAAGCAGCCAATAATTCTCCTTACGCGAAGTTAAAATCTGCTTCCTTTCATTTTTATCATTTTTTCATCCCTGAGATAGAGATATCTAGTTCTTCTACTTAATAATCCTTCAAGCATTTAAAAATGTTATGGTCCCCATAAGACTTCTATTTTTCAGAGTAAGCATCCTTTTTTTATTCCCAAATAAGATTTATTGGGCTGGGCACAGTGGCTCATACCTGTAATCCCAACACTTTGGGAGGCTGAGCTGAGGCAGGAGGATCGCTCAAGCCCAAGAGTTTGAGACCAGCCTGGGCAATATAGTGAGACCCTGTCTCTATAAAAAAATAAAAATAAAAATAAATTTATTGAGCACTTACTATGTTCCAAGGGTAGTGTTAAATGCTTTACATGCAATATCTCAGTTAATCCTATGAAGTAGGCATTATTATCTCCATTTCACTGATGAGAATGCTAATAAGGTTCAGAAGAACTTGCTCAAGGATAGAAATCCATCCAATCTTAGTCCTCTCTAGCCCTTTCTAAGACTTGATTAGACAAGATCCTTCACTATCTGTCCTCCTTTGTTTCTAGACCCTACTTGCCACTATCTCTTAAAAAGGATAAAATGCAAATACACACACACACACACACACACACACACACACACAATATTAAGATGTCTGAGAAATAGAATACAATGGGATTACGAACTTTTTTGTTATTATTAACAATATGGTTTAAATAGTATTTGATTTTTGGCCACCATTTACATTGTTAGTTTATAACAAGTTTATAATCCCTTTAAATATCCTATATATATGCGGAGGTTTTCTAAACCTAAATGTAGAAAGTTTATGTTAATTATCTAAAAATTTTATCTTTTGCATTTAAGATCACCACTTGAATGTATCAATATCTTTGAAAATTTTATATTGCCATCAGCATAGGCCAGTCCACTAGCTTTATATGATCCACAATCTAATCATAATGCCTTCTACAACTAGACCAGTTGAGAAACAAGATTAATCAGGTTAGCATCAAGTACAGTAGCTTTTCAGATGAACTTAAAACAATGAAATAGAGATAAAAAGTCATTTCTCTTATTTTCACACACTGAATGGAGAGGACAGAATCTTTTGAAGATCTGGAAATGTTCAGTGAATCTGAATCTGGGTTTTACTTAGAATTGGTAGAGGACTAACCTTAATTTTTTTTTTTTTCCTCAAGAACAGCAAAATGCTCCTGGTTATTAACACTGGGCCACAGGAATTTGAGGATTTATTCTATTGTTCTTTCTACTGTTGTTTGGAAATTTTCAATAATAACAACTTGAAAAAAATTCAAAACAACATTTTTTTTTGAGACAAACTCTCACCTTGTCGCCAGGCTGGAGTTCAAAGGCATGATCTCAGCTCACTGCAACCTCTGCCTCCTGGGTTCAAGCGATTCTCCTGCCTCAGCCTCTCGAGTAGCTGGGACTACCGTGTATGCCCCATGCCCACCTAATTTTTGTATTTTTAGTAGAGACGGGGTTTCAACATATTGGCCAAGATGGTCTCGATCTCTTAACCTTGTGATCCCCCCAGCTCGGCCTCCCAAAATGCTGGGATTATAGGTGTGAGCCACCGCACCCAGCCAAAACAACTTTTAAAAATTCCAACCGAAAAACAAAAACAAAAATTCCAACTGATAAGATGATTCTATTCAAATTAGTTTGATTTTCTGAAAGTAACTAATAACCTACCAATAACTTACCTACTGTGTGGTAATAAGGCGTAAGAACCGAGGCTTTTACACAATTGATTCCTCCTAGTACCTCTGCTAACATTTTATAAATCTGCTGTTGTGCTCTATTCATGCCACCAATACCTTTATAAAAATAAAAATAATTAGTCTACTTAATCTTTTTTTTTTTTTTTTTTGAGACAGAGTCTTGCTCTTGTTGCCCATGCTGGAGTGCAATGGCACGATCTCAGCTCACCACAACCTCTGCCACCCGGGTTCAAGTAATTCTCCTGCCTCGGCCTCCCAAGTAGCTGAGACTACAGGCACCCACCACCATGCTCAGCTAATTTTTAGATCTCTTTAGTAGAGATGGGGTTTCACCATGTTGGCTGGGCTGGTCTCGAACTCCCGACCTCAGGCGATCCGCCCGCCTCTGCCTCTCAAAGTGCTGAGATTACAGGCATGAGCCACAGCACCCAGCCTTGTTCAGTTTTTTAATGAAAATCATCCCAATTCTACAAACTGAAAAATAAAGATTAATATTTCTAATAACAGCTTCAATGTAATATGGAATGACACTAAATTCAATACAAGTTCTTTGCTCTCAACTAAAAGAGGGTTATGTCCCAAATATTAAGAAATTTTTATAATGTCCCACCTACAATATCTCACATAAAATATTAAACATGTCATGATTCTCTCGGGACATCTTGTGTCATGTTTAGGTATAACAAGATTAACAATGTACTACCTAATAATTTACTTTAGAATTAAATTTTACTATCTAAACTAAAAGAAAACTCAAACCTTTATTATATTGTTGGCAGAAGCGGTCATGAAACCATGGAATCTGAAACTCAGGGCATTCCAAGCAGACTGCTCTATTTAACTCCATAAGATGAAACTGGACTCTTGTACTTAGAGATGAAGGTAAAACTGAAATTAATAAAATATTAATGAATTTTGACAGCTGAGACCTAGGAAAGACAATCCATTTTTTTCACATTCATTTATCCCCACTACTGGTAGATGCTTTTATTCTAATACTATAAAAATACTTCATTTACACACATATGCTTTATATTTTTAAATTATTACATTCAGTGGCATGATTAGGACCAACTCCTGCTCTGTTCTCATTAATCATGAATGTTAAAAACACATTTAAAAAATACTCCCAAGAATTTTCTTTCACCTAATAGTCCATATTTAGGTTTTTATCCTAAGGAAGCAATGATTCATGTATAACAATTCATTACTTACAATAATGAGGAATTAGAAACAACCTGTAAGATGACAAATTTTATTATATCCATGTAATGGGATATTATGTAGCCAATAAAAATCATGACATCAAAAAATATTTAATAACATGGAAAATTGTTCAAAATATAGTCAGATGGAAAAAGGCAGCATACAAAAGTGACATATAGCCGGCGTGGTGGCTCACGCCTGTAATTCCAGCACTTTGGGAGGCCAATGTGAGCAGATCGCAAGGTCAGGAGTTTGAGACCAGCTTGGCCAACATAGTGAAATCCTGTCTCTACTAAAAATACAAAAATTAGCCAGGTGTGGTGGCACGAGCCTGTAGTCCCAGCTACTTAGGAGGCTGAGGCAGGAGAATTGCCTGAACCCGGGAGATAGAAGTTGCAGTGAGCCAAGACTGCCATTGCACTCCAGCCTGGGTGACAGAGTGAGACTCCATCTCAAAAAGAAAAAAAAGTGGCCGGGCACGGTGGCTCAAGCCTGTAATCCCAGCACTCTGGGAGGCCGAGGCGGGTGGATCACGAAGTCAAGAGATCGAGACCATCCTGGTCAACATGGTGAAACCCCGTCTCTACTAAAAATACAAAAAATCAGCTGGGCCTGGTGGTGCGTGCCTGTAATCCCAGCTACTCAGGAGGATGAGGCAGGAGAATTGCCTGAACCCAGGAGGCGGAGGTTGCGGTGAGCTGAGATCGCGCCATTGCACTCCAGCCTGGGAAAAAAAAAAAAAACTCTGAGTCAAAAAAAAAAAAAAAAGTGAATATATAAATAATCCAAATTTTGTTTTAAATTCATATAGAGGCCAGGTGTGGGGCCTCTCGCTTGTAATCTCAGCACTTTGGGAGGCCGAGGTGGATGGATCATTTGAGGTCGGGAGTTCAAGACCAATCTGGCCAACATGGTGAAACCTTATCTCTACTAAAAATACAAAAATTAGCCGGGTGTGGTGGTGCATGCTTATAATCCCAGCTACTAGAGAGGCTGAAACAGGAGAATCCAGCACTTGAACTGGGAAGCCAGAGGTTGTAGTAAGTCAAGATTGTGCCACTGCACTTCAGGCTGGGCAACATAGCAAGACTCTGTCTCAAAAAAAAAAAAAAAAGAAGAAGAAGAAAAAAAGGAAAAGAAAGATGGCTCATGCCTGTAATCCCAACACTTTGGGTGGCTGAGGCAGGAGGATTGCTTGAGTCCAGTGGGTAGAGAATAGCCTGGGCAACATAGCAAGATTCTGTTTCAAAAAATAAAAATAAAAAATTTAACAAATTAAAATTAAATTCAGGCTGGGTGTAGGGGCTCATACCTATAATTTCAGCATCTGAGAGGCTGAAGAGGGAGAATCACTTGAGCTCAAGAGTTTGAGACCAGCCTGAGTAATACAGTGAGATCCCATCTCTTAACAAAAAAAAAAAATTAGCTGGTCATGGTGACACATGCCTGCGGTCTCAGCTACTCAGGAGGCTGAAGGGGGAGGATCACTTGATCCTGGAGTCCAAGGCTTCAGTGAGCTATGACTGCACCACTGCACTCTAGCCTGGACAAGAGTGAGACCTTGTCTCACAACAAAACAAAAAAACACAGATATATAAACATTCACACAAGAGATGGAGAAAGACAGAAAAGAAATACTCCAAAACATTAAAAGTGGTAGTTTTACTTGTTAGTAAGATGCATAACTTTTTATTTTCTATGTTATACTTGTGTTTTCCAAATTTCTACAATAAGCATGCATACTATTAGAAACAGAAAAAAGTTACTAACATTTAAAGCCTTCAGTATAGGTGGGCCTGAGACTTGGATATAAAGTACAACAGATAATGAAATAAATTAAAAGGTAGAGACGTACCTTCAAGTTGAGAATCTAATCTAGCTAAGAATTTGATGTTAAAAATTGCCTTTAGCAGATCTTCTGGAAAATATTCAAGTGTGGCCAAAGAGAAACCAAGAAACACTAACATATGAGGATCGAATATACCTAAAAGAAAATCAAGATTCTTTTTAAAGTTATAGTTGCCTCACTTATATATAAACTTACAATTATTCAGGAAAAGCCAGGTTTAAAAAAAAATGATACGTGGTCTTGACAAAACTAATCTATACTGTCACAAAGTAAGGATAATAGTTAAGTGCTTACCTTTGGGTGGGGGTCAAGTAGGAAAAGGAGACAAGAGGAGAAGGGTACTGTGATAATATTGTGTGTCTTGATCTCGGTACTGATTCCCTGGGTGATTCAATTTGCATAAATTCACACTATTATACTAAAGTTACATGAACATTTGTTACTACACTTTAGTAAATTGTTTTAAAAAAAGCCTTGGAAAAGGAGTCGGAAGTTGCAGTGAGCTGAGATTGCGCCACTGCACTCCAGCCTGGTGACAGAGCAAGACTGCATCTCAAAATAATAATAATAATAGCCTTGGAAAAAGAAAGAATCCAAAACAAAAATGATAGTGGTGCATGTAAAAAGAAGTGATCCCAGTATTGGCGATAATAATACAAGAGTGTTCAGAGCATGTTACATACCATTCAAAACACTTTACATATATTAACTCACTTATATCCTATTTCCATAATCAGTAGAAACAATTATCTCTGCTTTATAAATAAGTGTTAGGAAGCACAAAGAGGTTAAATGACTTGCCCGAGATCACAGAGTTGGCAAATAAAGAGTAGGTTTAACCCAGAAAGTCCAGCTCTGGAGCCTGGACCATTATACTATGCTGCTCTCTGGGGATCTCAGATCTTCAAGCAGAGTGTACATGTTTTGAGGCTTAGGTCTTGCCTAGCACCTCCTCCTTTACCTGTCACCCAGGAGCATGGCAGATGTCCCACAGTGTAAGGCTTCACCTATTTACCTGATTTGCCTCATCCAAGGGACATTTCTAATGCAGGGGAAAGGGTCACCTAAAACGCCTGAATGGCGTCAATATTCTTACTAAGGACAAAAGAGACAACATTAAGTCTCTCCTTTTCCATTTTTTGCTGAGTTTATTTAATAAAGAAAGACTAGGTCATAAATGAAGTTAACAGTGAAGATCTCCACGAGCAAAACCAATCTGTCAAAATTCATCTTTACTTCAAAACAAATAAAATTATTACTCCATTAGTTATTTAAAATTGTACTTATAAGTTCCCTAGGAATTTTTAAAACATTCTCTGATTAAATTTTAAAAACTCAAAGCTATACTTCTCAATCTTTCTTCCCTTACACTCTTTAGCAAGAAAAAATTCTAATTTCTAAGACTCTATTTGGAGAATATGGGAAGAGATGTACTTTTATTTCCTTCTGGTTGTTGACACATGACTCAACAACCAGGAGAACACACTCTAAGTCTCAATTTGAAGTCTTATCTTTCTACATATAGTTGTGTGACTAAAAAGGGGTATAACTGTATGCCACACATGTAACACATTCATATACACATATAAATACACATATCACAGCCTCATGTTGTAGGCTGTGACACAGTAATATCAAACATGGTTAGATGCTATCTGGCCTATAGATCCCACAAAAATGTAGCAAAGTCCATTAGCATGATGCAGACACAATTAATATATTTATACTGGTTTCAAACCAGCTTCACCAGAGGTCTAAAGGTCTATATAAATCCCTAATGTAGAGCCTAACATGTTATGCTGGATATGGAAGCTCTCAGTATCTGCTACTTGGTAGATTACTGGGTAATTATTCTTACTCTCCAGGCAGAGCAAAAAGATCTGAAGAAATCAGTCTCTGGTTGTATCTCCAAACTTATCTCCTGCCAAGTCAGTCTCCCTCACTCCACTCCTGCCACACTGAATCTACTGTACCTGGAAAAAACCAAACATGTTCTCATCTAAGGGCCCTTTCCACTTGCCTTTCTTTCATCTTGGGACTCTCTTCCCTATCTATTGACATGGATCACTCCCTTACTTCATTTAATCCGTGGTTAAATGACATCTCCTCAGAGAGGCAGTCCCTGAATCCCTTATCCAAAATAGCACTCCATCTCACACTTACCATGATGCTCCAGCCTACACACTTTACCCTGCTCTAATGTTCTTGAAGGTACTTATTACCATCTGACCTTAGAGGCTTGTTTATTGCTTGTGACAGTCTCCCCCTACCAGAAAATAAACTCAATGATGGCATCTTATCCGTTTTTACTCTCTCCTGTATCTCCAGTGCCTAGAAGAATACCTGACAGTTAAGTACATGGAAAGTGTTGACTGAAAAGGCAACGACTACTGAGCATTTCTCTTCTAAAACCTCTGTATCATACTGACAAGTACATAGCATCAGTCTGAAAACAAAAGTGTCATAAAGCTCTACTCCTTGAAGGTCAAACTGTTCCAAACCCAACTCAAGATCCAAAATAAAAATGAAAAGGAAAAAGTAATTTCCTGTCTCTGCTGTCCTCACATACTGTTTCTGCTAAGGCCAACAGCAGGAAGGGCTATTTCTATTCTACTTTTGGTACTGAAACATTTACCAAAAGACTTTTTTGGCCAGGTGTGGTGGCTCACGCCTGTAATCCCAGCACTTGGGAGGCCAACATGGGAGGACTGTTTGGGCCCAGGAGTTTGATACCAGCCTGGGCAATGTAGCAAGACTCCATCTCTAAATTTAAGATAATTTTTTTAAAAAGACCTTTTTAAGAGATACAAAATAATCAGTACAAGAGGAGCAACTCTTCAAACAATTCACAGACAACTATTAAGGTTCTTAAGAAACATTTTTTTTTTTTACTTTCTAAATCAAGAGAAACAATCAGATATTATGTGCTTCCAAATGTGATATAAATATAAGGTACACAGCACTACGTACAAGTTATTTTTGCTGCAAGTGGTTAATCTGAACCTAACCAAGCATCTATACCTAACTTCTAGTTTACCACAAATGCAGGAGATGGAGAAGCAAGTTAAAGGAAAACAATCAGAAAATCCAGAATGTGCCACAATTTATAAAAAATGGCCAATCATTTTATAAAAATAAATATCAAGCAAAATAAATGGAGGAAAAGACATAACCACTCAATGTTGATTGTTTAAAGAAAAGTTATAAGAGATAATTTAGTGACAATTGGGAAAATCTGATTATGGGCTAGATAGTAGATGGTACTTGTTAATTTTCTTTGGTAATGGTAATGATACCAGTATTACAGTTACACAGGAGAATGTCCTTATAACCTGAAGTACATAGAGCTGACAGCTGGAAGGTCCATCATACGCATACGTGCTTGTGCTCATACACAGAGCAAATGTGGCAAAGTTAATCAATACTCAATCACCATTGTGGGTCTACAGTATATTATACAGATGTTTGTTATATTGATCTTTCAATTTTTCTGTATATTTGAAAACCTGGATAACGAAAAGTTCAGAAAAAAAACAACCAAGTCAATGCCAAGAGAAGAAAAAAGGGAAAAGAAATTCCTGACTATAAGAGACTGAAGAGATAACAACCAAACACAGTAAGTAAATCCTGGATCCAAAACAACTACTCTAAAAGGTATTTTGGAGGCCGGGCGCGGTGGCTCAAGCCTGTAATCCCAGCACTTTGGGAGGCCGAGGCGGGTGGATCACGAGGTCAAGAGATCGAGACCATCCTGGTCAACAAGGTGAAACCTCGTCTCTACTAAAAATATAAAAATTAGCTGGGCATGATGGTGCATGCCTGTAGTCCCAGCTACTCGGGAGGCTGAGGCCGGAGAATTGCTTGAACCCAGGAGGCAGAGATTGCGGTGAGCCGAGATCATGCCACTGCACTCCAGCCTGGGTAACAAGAGCGAAACTCCGTCTCAAAAAAAAAAAAAAAAAAAAAAAAAGGTATTTTGGGAGTACTTAGGGAGACTGAAACATGAACTGTGTATTACATATTAGGGGATTATGATTAAGTTTCTTAGGTGTGCCAACAGTATTGTGGTGGTATAGAATAATGTCATTATTCTTAGGAGATGTATGCTAAAGTAATTAGGGGTGAAGGGTCACAATGCCTGCAACTTTGAAGTGGCTCAGAAACAAATAGAGTCAGAGAAACAAATGGATCAGGCCAAAAGGGTAAAATGCTAACATTGTTGAATCTACACAGTGAGTATATACGTGTTCTTTGTTCAATTCTCTATACGTTTGACTTTTTTCAAAATTAAAATGGATACAAAAGGTTTTTTTACTGCTGGGCGCAGTGGCTCACGAATGAAATCCCAGCACTTTGGGAGGCATTGGTGGGTGGATCACCTGAGGTCAGGAGTTCAAGACCAGCCTGGCCAACATGATGAAACCCTGTCTGTACTAAAACTACAAAAAATTATCCAGGTGTATAGTCCCAGCTACTTGGGAGACTGAGTCAGGAGAATTGCTTGAACCCAGGAGATGGAGGTTACAGTGAGCTGAAATCGAACCACTGCACTCCAGCCTGGGAGACAGAGCAAGACTCTGTCTCAAAAAAAAAAAAAAAAAAAAACTTTTTTAGGTAGAGAATTCATGGCTATTATGGATACCCTTTAAATGAGGGGCACTCCTACCTGAGCAGCAATAGCTATCCTCTGACTTATTCACTCAATGCATTACCAAACAATATACCTACCTAAGTAAGAATTAAGATGTTGCATGCAAGTTTCTAAAAATTCATCCCTTTGAGGTGGATCATAATTCAAAACGCTGAACGGCATAATAATAGCAAAAACTGTAAATGGATGGATCTGTATAAAAAGAAAACAAATAGTCTAAACTTGAGGAAAATAAGACACAATTTTAACCTAATTATTTTTTAGGAGAAATCTTTTCCTACCATCGCTATACTTAAATAATAAACATCACTTGCTTATTAATTTTTCCACCCTGCTATAATTTATTTAACCCCATCAACAATTATTAATAACTCCAAAAGTGTTGGCAAGAAAAAAAGTAAATCAGATAATCTACAAATTTGTTAGGTGTAAAATTCTGTTCTGGTTGGGAGTGGTGACTCACGCCTGTCACCCCAATACTTTGGATGACTAAGGTGGAAGGATTACTGAGGCCAGGAGTTCAAGACTAGTCAGGGGCCGGGTGTGGTGGCTCACGCCTGTAATTCTAGCACTTTGGGAGGCCGAGGTGGGTGGATCACCTGAGGTCAGGAGTTCAAAACCAGCCTGGCCATCATGGTGAAACCCCATCTTTAAAAAAAAGAAAAGACTAGTCAGGGAAACATAGTGAGACCCTGTCTTTATTTAAATTTAAAATAAATTAATTAATTACTTAATTCTGTTTCAGAATTCATTAGTCACTAAATCGAATAGGAAACAGTATCAGCAATTTCCATGATAATCAGTACATTTTATAGAATAATCATAATGTAGTAAAGTTTCTTAGTTTATAAACATTAGCATTTATTTTTCTTTCATTTGTCTTTTTATTTTATTTTTCACTCATTCATCCAATACTTAATGACTGCCAAGCACTATACTAAGCAAATAAGACAACTTTTAAATTTTCATTTGAGAGAAACACTGTCTTTTAAATAAAGGCCTTTCCCTGATATATTTATGATAGTGATTTTGTAAGTAAGCTGCTTCTCACATAATCCATAAAGAGGCATTTTACAAGTAAGTCCCAGAAATAAATCTGCAAGATACAGTGACAATTTAAGAATACTGTTGTCAATGGATACCTTATCATTTTCTGTGTTCAAGCTTATCTCACATTTTTGAATATAATTCCTTTAAAATGATAAAAGTAATACCACGGGATTATAGAAAATAAGAAAAAGCAAAACCAAAAATAATTCATACTCCACTATCCTAATACGAGTATCCTCAAAGAATTGATTCCTAATCCTAATATTGTGAAGAACCAAAGGATGACTGCTGATCTAAATCTGCAATGTTGGAAGAACAAAGTGGCTTTAAGGTTTTTTAAGAGACAAGGTCTCACTCTGTCACCCAGGCTGGAGTACAGTGGCAGTGGTGTGATCATAGCTCACTGAGCCTTAACTACTGGGATCAATCCATCCTCCCACCTTAGCCTCCCAACTGCTGGAATTACAGGCGTGAGTTACTACATCTGACCCAGAATTTAATTTCTAAACTTCAAATTCCAATCCAGGTACTCAAAGTGCCTATGATAAAAATTATGCTTGCAGAAGTTGACAACTCTATAAAGTCTAACATTCAAATTTCACCTTTTCAATCTGCTGAACAGCCACTGAGGCTATCCTATCGAGTAGCAAAGTACTGAGGTAATTAGTTTTAGAAATAAAATATGCAATCTCTGCAACATTTATGTAATTAATTTCATCCCTGAAACGCTGTAAAGCAGCAATCATTTCTTCAATAAGTGACTCAGGAAACACGTCTCCTTTGAGAGATTTCAGTTCCTTCCATAACAGATCAAAACTGTTGATGTGTTGTAGTCTCTGATGACCATAGTGATCTAATTTTTGAAGTAGTTTCAGTTGTTTCCCAGTATTACTATCCAAATGCATGTGGTCATACTGAATCCATCTTAAAACAGATGCGGAAAAACTAGTCAGTTTATTTAGGTCACACTGTGGTAAAACTGCTTCAATTCGGGATATCCCCACTTCGTCCAAGTGAGGAGAAGGAAGCATGGAAATAGCACAGACCAGAAGGGACATCTCAGTTGGTATGAAACTGATTTTCAAATAACTGCAAAATGAAAATGAAAAGAACAAAATTAATACATCAGCAACAAAACCAAAATATATATTAAAATATGAATATACATAATTAGTACTGCAATTAATAGGTAAGATGGTGATTCAAAAAAATCTCTTTCAAACTGTGTTTTTCCTCTACTCTCAAACCACAACAATCATCAACATGGAAGACGTCTATGACCAAATGTGTGTGGGTTCTTCTAAGCAGCGGACACTAGCTGGGTGTCCAATTCAGTGCTGGCACTATCTACCTGGAGACAGTGTCAAATCCCACAAGCTGGGAACTCAGTCTTTAAGACTGACCTCTGCCACAGAAACCCTATACTCCAGTTGCAAATGTAGGCCTCCAGAACTTCTGACCATCTGGCTTCAAGTTGGAGTTCCCACAACCTCCTCTTTGGGTTTAATTTGCCGGAGTGGTTCACAGAACTCAGGACAACACTTACTTATGTTTACAGGTTTATTATAAAGGATGCGATAAAGAACGCCGATGAAGGGACAGTAGGGTGAGGTATGTGGGAAGGAGTGCAAAGCTTCCATGCCCTCCCTGAGCATGCCACCCTCTAGGAATCTGCATGTGTTCAGCTATCCAGAAGCAGTCCAAACCCATTCTTCTTGGGTTTATATGAGCTTCATGATGTCAGCATTTCTTCACACAGAGTGTAGGGTGGGATCTTTCAGGGGAGCGTCTTAAGACCCACAATCAGAAAAGTGGAGGAAGATTAGAGTCCTCCTTTGGGGCAGGAGAAAGATTCTGCTTCTGGAGGTCTAACGCACCCAACATTGTAACAAAACGTTATACCAAGAGCTATAAAAGTTATGAACAAGTAACTGTGAATGAAAGCCAAGATATGTAACCATCACAGGTGGGCATAACACAAGCTAATTTAAGAAGGGTTAGATAGGCCAGGCCTGGTGGCTGGCGCCTGTAATCTCAGCACTTTGGGAGCCCAAGGCGGGCGGATTGCCTGAGGTCAGTAGTTTGAGACCCATCTGGCCAACATGGTGAAACCCCATCTCTACTAAAAACACAAAAAAATTAGCCGGGCGTGGTGGTGTGCACCTGTAATCCCCAGCTACTCGAGAGGCTGAGGCAGGGGAATCCCTTGAACCAGGGAGGTGAAGATTCCAGTGAGCCAAGACTGTGCCACTGCACTCTAGCCTAGGTGACAGAGTAAGACTCCGTCTCAAAAAAAAAAAAGAAGAGTTAGATAAATTCAAAGACGACAGATCCGTGAAGGATTATTCAGGAAAGCCTAAGACGTTCTGAAGCACAGGTCAAAATTTTTTATTCAAAAATAAAACCACAGTCCCAGGGAAACAAAAAGTCCATGTCAGAACATGTGTTTCCAGTGCTGCTGCTGAAGAAATAATTTGGGTTCAATTTCTGATATGACCTGTCAGGCCCTGGCATACAGTGATCATGTAATAAAATTGGTTCCTTTTTCGCTTCCGATACATAGTCCAACTTTTAAAACAAACAAACACCAACAAAAGAAAAAGGACATACAGATGACCCCATTCTCTACTTCTTTCCCAAATCCCCATGGTAAGAGTCCCAGGACACCAGGACAAAAATTGTTAAAAAAAAAAAAAAAAAAAAAAAAATTTAAAAACTAGGTGCCAGGCATGGTGGCTCACACCTGTAATTCCAGTACTGGGAGGCCAAGGTGGGGGATACCTTGAGCTCAGAACTTCGAGACCAGCCTGGCCAACATGATGAAATCCCCTCTCTACTAAAAATACAAAAAACTAGCTGGGCGTGGTAGCACATGCCTGTAATCCTAGCTACTAGGGAGCCTGAGGCATGAGAATCGCTTAAACCCAGGAGGTAGAGGTTGCAGTGAGCCGAGATTGAGCCACTGTACTACTGCGTGGGCGACAGGGCAAGACTCCGTCTCAAAAAATAATAATAATCTTTAGGTACAGAAGTAGTGGAAGGAATAATGCAATCTAAATTAAAATAAAATTGAGTTACTTTTAAAATACTTTTTAAATTATTATTATTATTTTTGAGACAGGATCTCATTCTGTTGCCCAGGCTAGAATGCAATGGCGCAATATAACTCATTGTAGCCTTGACCTCCTGGGCTAAGCCTCCCTACACACTGGGAATACAAGCACATGCTACCCTACTTACTTAATTTTTAATTTTTTGTTGTTGTTAAGACAGGGTCTTGCTTTATTGCCAAGGTTGGTCTTGAACTCCTGGGCTCACACAATCCTCCCAGCTCAGCCTCCCAAAGTGCTGGGATTACAAGCATAAGCCACTATGCCTAACCACTTAAAATTTTTAAATTAGCATACTAAAATAATCATAATATTAATAGTCAATGTTAGCAAGGGTGTACTGATACAGGCATTCTCATTTCTTATTAGTAAACTTAAAAAGTTGGTGTAACTCCCTGGAAAGTTATTTAGCAGTATAGCTTGAGAACTTTAAAAGTATTTTAATTGTAACATTTGACGTGGTCAATCCCTGTTTGGGAAACTAACCTAATAAACTAACATAAAATCCAGGAAAGAGGGAAGTCTTTTGCCAGTGCAGTGGCTTACACCTGTAATCTTAGCACTTTGGGAGGCCAAGGTGGGTGGATAACAAGGTGAAGAGATTGGTGAAACCACATCTCTACTAAAAATACAAAAATTAGTTGGGCATGGTGGTGCACACCTGTAGTCCCAGCTACTTGGGAGGCTGAGGCAGGAGAATCACTTGAACCCAGGAGGCGGAGGTTGCAGTGAGCCAAGATTGCACCACTGCACTCCAGCCTCAGCAAGAGAGCAAGACTCGATCTCAAAAAAATAAAAAATAAAATCCAGTAAGAAAAGATGTGTGTTATTAGTGATTTTTTTTTTTTTTTTTAAGAGGGAGTCTTACGATGTTCCCCAGGCTGATCTCCAACTCCTGGGCTCAAGTGATCCTCCTGTCTTGGTCTCCCAAGTATAGCTGGGTATAGCTGGGATACAAGGGCACACCACCATGACTTATCATATTTTTATATGTGAAAACAATCTAAATAATGAGGGGGAATAGCAATAAGTGATACAGTCATATGACGGTTACTAACCAGCCATTAGAAAAGATTTACAAAAATTACTTAATGATGTAGAAAAATGCTTACAAGGTAAAATGGCCAAAAACAAACAAAATTGTATGGTCAACTATGAAAAAAAAATATATATATATATATATGTGTGTGTGTGTAGTATACAACAAGGAAATAAACTAAATTGTTGACAGTGGATGAATGAGTTTATGAATAATTTTTATTTTCTTCTTTACATTTTTTTCTTTTCTTTTCTTTTCTTTTTTAGAGATAGAGCCTCACTCTATAGCCCAGGCTGGAGTGCTGTGGTATGATCATAGTTCACTGTAACCTTGAGGTCCTGGGCTCAAGTGATCCTCCTGTGTCAGCCTCCTGAGTAGCTAGGACTATAGGCATGAACTACTACGCTCTGCTAATTTTTTAGTTTTTTGTAGATGGGGGCTTGCTATGTTGAACACGCTGCTCTTGAACTCCTGCCTCAAATGATCCTACTGCCTCAGCCTCTCAAATATACTTTTTTGTTTTCCAAAATTTTCAAAATGATTTTTATATAATATTTGGCCTAGTGCCTGACACAAGTAGGCACTTATTACTGCATATTTTAGTCTTATAATCACAAAAAAATTAATACATTATTTTATATAAAGAAATGAAAGCGCTCAAAAACTGCATCACTTGTGGAGCTACCAGTCTTGAGATACTTTTCTACAAATAAACCCCCAACAGATAAAATTTCTCCAACCTCCATTTGCTATTTTTCCTTGTAATACTTCCTCAATTTCCAAAGCTTAGATATTTATGTTTATTTATTTATAATTCCACAACATACTTACCAGAACAGCTAAAATTAGAAAACATGAGCATTGTTCTGGGTTATAGGGGAAAAAAAATAAAAAAATTTTTTTAAAAAGTGTTGGCAAGAATATGGAGCAACAGCAATGTATGCATTCTGTTAGTGGGAGTAGGAACTGGTATAACCATTTTAGAAAATGTTCAGCAGCATCTACTGAAGATGAGCACATGCATACCCTATGAACTAACAATTATATTTGCTGGCACACAGAAATGAATATGTATGTTCACTAAAAAATATATATGAATTTGTTCATAAACAGTACTGTTGATAAATAACCAAAAACTGAAAATAAATCAATGTCCATCAACAATAGAATAAATTTTGTTATATTCTTACAAGAGAATACTATACACAAAAGCATAGATAAATCTCACAAACTTAGTATTGAGCAAAAGAAGCCCTACACAAAAGAAATCACACTGACCAGGTGCAGTGGCTCATGCCTGTAATCCCAGCACTCTGGGATGCCAAGGTGGTTGTATTACTGGAGTGCAGGAGTTTGGGACCAGCCCCGGCAACATGGCAAAACCCTATCTCTACTAAAAATACAAAAATTAGCCAGGTGTGGTAGCACATGCCTGTAGTCCCAGCTACTTGGGAGGCTGAGACAGGAGGGTCACCTAAGCCCAGGAGCTGGAGGTTGGTTACAATGAGCCAAAATCACACCACTGCACTCCAGCCTGGGCAAACAAATGAAACCCAGTCTCAAAAAAAAAAAGGGAAATCATACCGTATGATTCCATTTATATAAAGTATAAAGGCAAAACCAATCCATGCAGTTAGAAATAGAGATGGTTAATCTTGGGGGTGAGGATAGGGTAATGAGGAAGGCATATGTATATTTTATGTAAGTTATATTTCAGAAAGTTAAAAAACAACAGGCATGGCCGGGCGCGGTGGCTCAAGCCTGTAATCCCAGCACTGTGGGAGGCCGAGGCGGGTGGATCACGAGGTCAAGAGATCGAGACCATCCTGGTCAACATGGTGAAACCCCGTCTCTACTAAAAATACAAAAAATTAGCTGGGCATGGTGGCACGTGCCTGTAATCCCAGCGACTCAGGAGGCTGGGGCAGGAGAATTGCCTGAACCCGGGAGGCGGAGGTTGCGGTGAGCCGAGATCGCGCCATTGCACTCCAGCCTGGGTAATAAGAGCAAAACTCCGTCTCAAAAAAAACAACAACAACAACAAAAAAAAACCTCTGGGTCCCCTGAGCTGTTTCAGGACATATTTACATAAGCATTTATGTGAATTATTAGTTTCAAATAGACTGCATTCCTTCTAATATCTACTTGAGATTATTTGCACTAAAATGGAAGAAGGTAATTCTGAAACACGAGGTATGTATGATTTTTATATAACAACTCCCAACTTTTAATTATTAGTCAATAAGTCAAATATTTTTGATACAACTTTAAATTACAGATATAAAGACTCTCCTTACTTGGAATTTAATAAACTTTAACATTATCATACATGCTTCAAGTCTTTTCATAAAAGAAACAAAACATTACAGGAAAATGAAATCTGATGATCCCACTCCTGCTCTTATTTTTCTATTAACATACATAGAAGTATTCAACAGTATTGAATAATTTAATTTTTTAAAAAAATAATGTGCAGTATATGTTTACAGCAGCACAATTCACAACTGCAAAGATGTTAACCAACCTAAACGCTCATTGACTAATAAGTGCATAAAGAAAATGTGGTAAATATACACCATGGAATACTACTCAGCCATTAAAAGGAAGAAAATAATGTCTTTTAAGCAACATGGATGGAGGTGGAGGCCATTATTCTAAGTGAAGTAACAGAGGAGAGGAAAATCAAAAATCATATACTTTCACTTATAAGTGGGGGCTAAACTATGAGTACACAAAGGCATGCAGAGTGATATAATAGACTTTAGAGACACAGAAAACCCGGGTTGGGAGGCGAGCTAGGGATTAAAAAAAAAAAAACATGTTAGGTAGAAAGTACACTACTCACGTGACGAGCACACTTGAAATCTCAGAATTCACCACTATACAATTCATCCATATAACAAAAAACCACATGTATACCAAAAGCTACTGAAATATTTTTTAAAAGAACAGAAACATAGGCCCGGCACAGTGGTTCACACCTGTAATCCCAGCACTTTGGGAGACTGAGGGCAGATCACAAGGTCAGGAGATTGAGACCATCCTGGCCAAAGTGGTGAAACTCCATCTCTATTGAAAATACAAAAATTAGCTGGGCATGGTCGCAAATGCTTGTAATCGGGCTACTTGGGAGGCTGAGGCAGGAGAATCACTTGAACCAGGGAGTCAGAGGTTGCAGTGAGCTGAGATCGCGCCACTGCACTCGAGCCTGGTGACAATAAGACTCCATCTCAAAAAAAAATCAAATCAAATAAAAATAAAAATAAAAACATAGGCCAGGTGCAGTGGCTCGTGCTTGTAATCCCATCACTTTGGGAGTCTGAGGCAGGTGGATCACTTGAGGTCAGGAGTTCGAGACCAACCTGGCCAACATGGTGAAGCTCATTTCTACTAAAAATATAAAAATCAGCTGTAATCCAGCTACTCAGGAGGCTGAGACAGGAAAATCGCTTGAACCTGGGAAGCTGAGGTTGCAGTGACTCGAGATCGTGCCACTGGAGTGTAGCCTGGGTGACAGAACGAGATTCCATCTCAAAAAAATAATAATAATAAAACAAAAATAAAAATAAATAAAAACATAAAAACAAAATATAGAAAGACAAAAATAAAAACAAAAAAATAAAATATGGAAAAATTTAAAAATAAACAAAAATAAAATATGGAAAAATTTTTAAAAGCATGCAAAAAAAATCTCACTGTGCAGACATAAATCATGTCTGGGCTAGTTTATAATATCTAATTTAGAACATAAAATTCATAATTCAGAGGCAGTCTGTGAAATTCTATGCTAAATATGGAAAGGGTGAAGAAACAATAAGCATCTTATCATCTTAAGAAGAAGAAACTTCTTCAAGAAAAAGATAAACTTCCTTATAACATCCAAATATGCTAAATTCTCATTTGATAACATGTCATTTCATATTCCCCAGTTCAAGACCTTTTTTAACCATAATGTCACATTACTTTATTATAATAAAAATCATTTTCAACTGTATGCTGGTTCAAGCCTGTAAAACCTTGTACTCAGGAGGCTGAGGTGGCAGGATTGCTTGAGCCCATGAATTTGAGGATGCAGAAAGCTATGATCATGCCACTGCACACTGCACTCCAGCTTGGGCAACAAGGTAAGACCCCATCTCTATGAAAAATAAAATCAAATTAGCCAAGTGTGGTAGCAATACTACTTGGGAGGCTGAGGTGGGAGGATCAGCCCAGGACTTCAGGCTACAGCAAGTTATGATTGGCTGCAGTGAGCTATGACTGTA